ATAAATCTTTGTAGCATTGTAGTCAATTAAATTTTTAAAAAATACTACTCATCAAAGATATATATATAATTAGTAGTATTTCGAGCCAAAACGGCAGAACATGAACGGACAAGTATTTGTTCGTGTTGTTCGTGTAGAGCCGAACAAAGTGGCCCTAATTATAATAATCCAACAAGCACATTTTTTTTTTGTGAAGATTTACATATCTACCACTCAATTCCTATGTATTTACAAATATACCCCACCTCTTTTTTTTGGGTGATCTACTAAATGACGGAAAACCAAACGAAAAGAATTACATTTTAAAAAAAAAATTGATAGATTAATTCAAAAGATTTTAAAATTATCGAAAAAGTCTTTTTCAAATTGAATCAGACATTCAGACCCATTTAAATTTAAAAATTAAAAAAAAAAAAATTAACAAGTACAAGCTTTGGGCGGCAGGCCTTCACACCTAATTTCTGAACATTTTTTTTTTTTTCCCGCAACGAACAAAAAGAAATTAAAAGCATAAAAATAGTGGAGCTTCTCGGCTCTCTGATATTTTCTATATAAATTGGCAGCCCAGCTCCCGTGGCTGCCCTCATCTCCTTCATCGAACCTTCTTCTCTCTGATTTCCTCCTCTGCTCACTGATTGGTTTCTGGGATTTGGAGCAATGTACATGAACGCAGGAGAACTGGAAGCTACTAGCCTCCCGGTGGACGCCAGACTTGTTCTCACCTCCGATCCCAAACCTCGGCTGCGGTGGACGGCGGAGCTCCATGATCGCTTCGTCGATTCCGTCACGCAGCTCGGAGGCCCTGACAGTGAGCTCTTGCCTTGTTGCTCTCTCCCTCTCTACAATGCCTTTCGTTCTTTGATTATTTTTTTATTTATGTAGCCTTTTTCTACGAGTAATTCTGTTTTTCTCTGATTAATGTTAAGTTTGATTGTTTCGCTTAGCATCCGTGATTAATTCATCTGTTGGGAAGTTGATCCTATTTGTTAATCGACTATATGGTTAGGAATAGGAATTTGAAGACCTCTGAACCTGCTTCTGAATGATTTATAGAATAAGATGCTATGGAATAAAACCTAAAAAAAGAACCCCAAATTGAGGCCCCAAAGCACATCCCATCTCTGCTTTTTGGCTTGTGAAGAAAGGATAAAATATTGCACTTTATTTCAGTAATGTGTCATTCGTTCTGTTTTGTGACTGTCTAATGTCTCCATTTCTTTCATTAGGTTTTATTCTCTCAGAAAACATTATACATGCTTAATTGTGTTCCCTACATGCCTTTGCTTTTTCTGATTTTCTTTCAATCATGCTCAAATGCTTCTGCTATTTAAAAGGGTTTAATTATAGAATTTATCTGAATGAGTTAATGATTTATAAGGTATAATAACAAATTGCTTTGTGCACTTGCGTAGGAAACATTAAAATTTGAACTTGTAATAAATACTAGGATCAAAGCTGTCATGCGAACAGTTAAAATTCAATTAAATCAAGATACTTTTGGTGCTGCCAATTGAGTAAGGAAAAAACTTCATTTTTACTAAGTAAACTGCATTTAATGCCTTAGTTTTTTTCTTCTAATATTATTTATTTATTTTCATTCTATTACTTAAAGGCATTTTTATTTTTTTACTAGATTTGAAAAGTTAAATTTCATAATTTTCTTTAAAATATGTTTTTTTTTTGTTGGCCATTGTGATTATTTAGCCTTCCACACATGTTATTTTGTTTCAAATGTGATCATAATTCTATTTTTTTACCAATTTAGTTTCAAATATAATCAACCAATTTAAATTATTACCATGATGCAAAATAGCTTTAGTATCCTTACAAACATTCTCTTTAAGTGGGCACTTAATTTGGGTGATGCTCAATTGGTCGAGTAGAAGAAAGCAACTTTAAGATTTTCAATTTTTATTTTTTTCATAAGAATAAGATTAATTATGAAAAATAATAGCATGAAGTTCAAAATATTGCAAAAATGTTGATTGATTAATAATTTATTAAATACCCTACATATTGCTAGAAAGTGCCAAGTAATTTTTACTTTTAAGTATCAACTCATTTCAATTTCTCCTAAAGAGAAGTGTCTTGTATTTTTCAATCTGCTCAATATGTACGAAAAGTTTTATAATTTAGTGTTTTGAAATATTCTATATCTATAATAATAGTTATTTAATTTGATAACAAAATTTATAAAATAAAATAAAATAAAATTGAATGAGAACAATTCCTTAAAAAGTATGCAAACAGAGTGATATTTATATCACATATATAATTATGGTATTAAAAATCAGATATTTAATTAAATATGATTATGTTGATTGCTTTATGGCTCAATTGTAATTGAGAAAATACTTTTTAGGAGCCCTCTTGTTGAGGATATCTCTTTTGATCATGTTATGAACAGGTAGGATTCTAACTAATAATAAAATTTATCACCTTAACAAACAGATATGTAAAGTTTGATGAGCAATGCATTAGTAATTTGATATGTGAAAAAAAAAAAGGAATTAATGAACAATAACATTGTGTTGAAATTAAAGGGAAAATTTGGAGGATTATGAGAAAAAAATAGTAATTAGAATATAATGCTGTCGAATAAATTAAGAAAAATTTTAGTTTATGCAGTGAAATGTATTTCTTTTTCCAATATTTTTGCTTGTAATGTTTTTCTTTCTAATCTCTAGAAGATAAGTGCTTGCATACGTACTGCTACTTTTGCTCAACTAGACGTTAAAAAGTTATTTGCTATACTTTTACAGGTTTGAAACATCATCTAATTTTGCTTGTTTCCTAATCATGCATGTATTTCCTACAATTGTGAGTTATAACCAGCAAAATTTTTTATCTTATTTCAATTAATCAGAAAAAAATATTGATTTTATTTATTAATTATTAAATAAAAAAGTGTTGATATATATATATATATATATATATATATATAGTTGAACATAATTTCGAATTAAAAATATATTTACGCAACTAATATCAAATTTAGTGGTGTTAAATAACTGAGATTGTTTAAGTAATTACTATTTTCTCTACTGTAGTACATGAATTTTTTTGGGGGCACGTTTCCATCAACGGAGCCGTCTGTAAATTTTTGCCACTTGGCAATTCAATTGCGCCACTTGGCAATGTAATTTTTTGCAACATTTATATAATTTTCTCTTTACAAACATTTTGAATGAAGTTTTGCTGCTTGTTTTTCCTTAACCAATAATTGAATCTCTTCCTCAACAAATGGAAAAAGGTTTACCATTTTGTGCTTAAAATTAGTGGATGTTTAGCTCAATTTAATTATGTAAAAGAAATTATTAAATTAAGGATGCCAATGGTAAGTTTGAAATTTTGGAGTAAAGCATTGTGCGGCAAACAATGAAATGTATCCATCAACTTTTTTTGTGGAAATAAGGATGAAGTACACGGCCGTTGAGATTAGATCATACCTTTTTTATTAAAATAATGTGATGATTGATCAGTATTGTTTCTTAAATATTGGTAACCTTAATTTTTCTGGTGGTTTTTAGGAATTTGAATGGTTTGTAGGCAGTGCTGGCCCTTTTATAATTGTTATTGTCACTTATTTTTGTCCTTTTCCTCTTTTGTTACTGTGAGTTCTCTTTAGATGCATTAATCTTCTTTTAATCCCAAGATAGAGAGGTTGGGCTTTTGTGTATGATACCTTTTTGTGGCTTCTTTTGCAGAAGCAACCCCAAAGGCCATATTGAGGATAATGAATGTAAAAGGACTTACACTCTACCATTTGAAGAGTCATCTTCAGGTTGCGTCTGATCTGGCACCAAGTTTATTCTAATAATTTATGCATGGAAACTAGAAAGCTCATCTTGTTTATTCATACAAATTCCTATCACCACACAATTCTTATATATTTACATATCTTACACCTAAACATTGATATTTACATGCACAACATTCAAATCTTTAACGTCACTTAGAAAATACCACTATTATAAACTTCTTAAAAGTGAAATACACCTTCTCATGCATAGGTTTATAACATCAAAGTGTTATAAATGTAAATATCAAACTTTAGGTTTTAGATGTGTAAATACATAAGAAATGTGTGCTGTACGTAAATTTCCTCAAATTAAAACCCTTTCAAAGCAACATGGCAATTTTTCATGAAATTTTAACTTTGGATTTTTAATTAAAAAAGATCATTATATTTTGTCTTATGTGTAGAAATGAAACTATAAACATATGTATGCTTGCATGGAACAAAGTTTCATCTTCCTTAACATTTTACATGGCTCATTTTACAGAAATACAGAATGGGGAAGCAATTATCAAAAGACCTTGAAGGCCCTAATGATGGTATTTCTCTTGCCACCTCTCCATCTCTCCAAGTACATGCCAACCATGCTGCTTTTGAATCTGTCTAGATATAATATGATTGCTTGGACTGCAGGAGATAATTTTACTTTCAACTTACTTTTTTTAGGGGCATTTACAAACATATTACACAATTCTTATTTATTTATGTTAGAAGTTATATTAGTAAATAATTTATTTCTGGTAGAAGTTATGAGGATTAGATCTATTTTTAATATAACTTTATTTCTTTTCCTATTTTAAATTTATTTTCTTGGAGTGGATTTATTTTCTTTCCGATTTGATGTTGTTTCTTTTATCTCCAAATAATTATTATGAATTGATTAATTGTAGATTTAGGTGTTATATCTTTCCTTTCCTATTATTTCTTTTTTCTTGTTTTTCCTATTTTAGAATTCAGGTAAGAGTTACTTATAACCACTTTTCATATCAATAAAGGTATTCTGTTTTATTCTGAATTTCAACATAGTATTAGAGCTTTGAAATAAACCCAAAAGTTTCCTGCCATCGAAAACTTTCTATTCTCTGCAGCCGGCAATTTTTTTCATGCTGCAGGCCCTTCCTCCACCTACTCTTTTTCAGTTTTTCCACCGGAAACTTCCTCTCCCTGTAGGCTGGAACCATCTCCCTGCAAACTCTAGATGCTGAAAACTTCCTTCCTTCTCTATAGATTTCAGTCGGCAGCCTCCTTCCTCTCCCTTCATGCAGGAAATAATTATGTTGGACCCTACATTCTCCATCTGTCTGCATGAAAAAATTCTATGTTGAGTAATTCTGTCAGACCTCCTCCTGCAGCCAAACCTTTCTCTGCTTGCAGTCTTCCTGGAACTTAGTCCGAATCTCTTAGCCGCATTCTGTAGGAGCAGCGTTAACATATCTTTAATTGTATTCTCGCTGCGTCCCTGTCGGAAGCCTCCTATGTATGGACATCTCTGCGGACCTTCCGAATGGAAGCATAGAGCTCGCAACAATCTCCAGTCGCTGAAATCGGTGAAGCACTGCAAGCAGTAGTGACAACATCTGCAGACATAAAAACATGTCGAGGACTTATCTATGATTTATCTAGTTCAGGCGGTGACTCCTCGAATGATGCGAAGGAGTGGTCAGCTTCCATAAGAACGCTATTCATAGCTTTTCTTTACATGATATTCTTGTGTGTGCACGTGGTTGGAAGCATCAAAACTAACAACCTTGCAATTCTTATAGACGTAGCTCATCTCCTTTCCGACATTGCGTCTTTCACCATTTCCTTGTTCTCGATGTGGGTGGCTCCTTGTCAATCTTACAGATTTTACAGAATCGAAATTCTAGGAGCACTGGTATTCATCAAGCTTATATGGCTTCCAGATTCCATCCACTGCCCTGCTTGCTAATTAAGTTGGCGAGGCTGCTCGGATATACTACATGCTAGCCAAGCTTGGTGCTGTGATGCATGCGATTGACATTGGAGGCGGCCTCAACATCTACTTCGATGAAACACATTCCAGCTGCTCGGACATGTGCGTGGGCTATAGATTGGACGAATACGCCTGTACAGTAGTTCGTGCTATCCAGTATGCTTGCAATCGCAAGCAAGTGTGCCATCTTGTTATCTACAACGAGAGTATGCTTGCAATCTCAAGCATCAGACCCTCCTCCAAAGTTTTTTTCTGCACCAGATCATCTGGAATTTTTCCTGCAACAGGTCCTCCTCCGGAGCCTTTCATACAGGAAATGCTCCGGAGGAGGGAGGAGCCTTTCCTACAGGAAAAGCTTCGTAGGAGGGCCTGATGCTCGAACATAAACATGGGCTATGGATTGGACGAACCTGTACAGTAGTTTGCGCTATCTAGTATGCTTGCAATCTCAAGCAAGTGTGACATAATGTTATCTACAACAAGAGTATGCTTGCAATCTTAAGCATCAGACCATCCTCCAAAGTTGTTTCCTGCAGCACTCTCCTTCGAAATTTTTCTGCAGTAGGCCCTCTTCCGGAGTTTTTCCAGTATCAGGCCTTCTTCTGGAATCTTTCCTGCAGTAGACCCTCATTTGGATCTTTTCCTATAGCAGACCCTTCTCCGAAGTTTTTTTCTTTTTTTTTTTTTTTGCAGGTCATTACCTTCTAGCTTTTTATTGCAGGTTGACTGCGTCCCTGTAAACTCCGGTGCGACATTACCTGTAAGAGTCTTCCCTTACATACACTGTAAGAATTACAGTCAAAGACAACCGCAGTCAACTAGAAGTCAATTTTTCTTGTTGGTTGTTTATTTCCCTGCAAACTCTCCTGCAACATTATCTGTAAGAGTCTTTCGTCTACCTATAGACACTGCAGGAACTGTAGTTAAAAACAATCGCAATCAACGAGATGTTAATTTTCCTACAGATTTTTTATTTCCCTGCAAACTCCCCAGCATTATTACCTGTAAGAGTCTTCCGTCTACCCACAGACACTGCAGGAATTACAATCAAATACAATCGCAGCACGGGGTGAAGATTTCAAGTTCTACTTCATAAGATTTTCCTCGCCCATTGATTGATATTTTCAAATCCAAATTGAACATGGTTTTCAACCATGTTTCAACTTGAGAGGGAGTGTTAGAAGTTATATCAGAAAATAATTTATTCTTGATAGGAGTTATGAGGATTAGATTTATTTCCTGATATAATTTTATTTCCTTTCCTATTTTAGATTTATTTTATTGGATTGGATTTATTTCCTTTCCTATTTCAATCTTTTCAATTTTATGTTGTTTCATTTTTCTCCAAATAATTATTATGAATTAATTAATATGAGATATTAGGTGTTATATCTTTTCTTTTCTGTTATTTCCTTTTTCATTTCTTTCCTATTCTAGGATTCATGTAAGAGCTATTTATAACCCATTTTCATATCAATAAAGATATTTCACATTATTATGAATATCAACAATTTACATATTTAACACCTAAGCATTCATATTGACAAGCCTACCACTCAAATCTTTAGCATTACATAAAAAACACCACAATCACCACCACCTTTTTAAAAATTAAATACAAATTTTCATGCATAGGTTTATGATAACCAAAGTGTTATAAGTGTAAATATCAAAATTTAGGTGTTAGCATGTAAATGCATAAGAATTGTATGGTTTGTGTCTAAATTTTTCCTTTTTTAGTAGAACTTTATTTGACCTATTTTTCCATGTTAAAGTAGTCTCATCTTTTCTCAAACTATTTATATGTATCGCTATCGCTAGATGGATCACAAACACTGGGCTCCATGGAAGGCTCTACTGATCTAAAACTGGAATAAGTTAGTAAAAACCAAAATTAACAGATGATAAATTACACCAAATAAGCAGCTTATTTTGATTCTCTTCGTAGATAGGAAAAAAACAATAGGAAGTTAAGGACAAATCTGACACATCATTAGCAAAATCTACTCTGATAGTTGTGGACCAGAATGTTTGACAGTTAGAGAAGTTCTCGGTGTCGGAGTTTTGGAAATATACTAAAAAGGGCAAAGCAATAATTCATACAGAGCACTCTCTGCTATATATGATGATTTGTATAAAGATAATGGACATGTATACAGATATATGTATTATTTTGCTAAACCACCAAAAACTGAAAATCATGCATTCAAATGCAAGTCGCAGAGGATACAATAATTTTCATAATTATCTGATTGCCCTTAAAAACACAAGCCAAACCCGTTCATCAGTGCATTTTAATCATGATCTGATCTCTCCAAAAAAATTATAAAAAAAAGCAATAAACATTCAACAGTAAGTTCCAAGCATAGTATGATTTTTATTTAGGCAGATATTATGAAGAATATTGTAAATTGCTCTAATATATACATAAGGCTGCAAATGAATGGAGTGTTTGACAAGCTACTCGTGCATTGGTTTGATTAGAGCTCGTTTTTGATCATTTGAGTAGATAATCAAACAAACTTAAACACTTCAATAAATAATTGATTACCAAATGAGCAAGCATGAT